TACATATATCTAGTGTGAATCACATGTATCTAAAATACAAACGAATCTCTCTCGCCTCTCTCCCTATTTTTGTGTATCTGGTAAAAAAAATACATGTATCTAAGTATATTTTCTTCAATATATAGTAAAAAACTCTTAATTAGTGATAAGATACGTAATATTTTAAAACTATAGATAATAGTTATATATATAGTAGTGAAGTATGTCTAATTATATAATTTTTCCAAAATTAAATATGTTGGACCCGTGCTCAGTACGGGCCATAGCCCATCTAGTATATGACTTAAGGTTAAATAAGTAAAGCTTTTTTAGTAACATAAATAGTATCTCTATGAAGCTATTCTTTTTCATCTTGTTTCACATTTATAGATTCCTCTACTTTGTGTTAGTAGCTCACAGCAACATCCTGCATAAGTACAAGTTTAGCGCGCCCTCCATACTCCTCCGGTAAGACATCTTCACCGACCTCTCGGATGAACTCTTCCTTTTCTTCTTCACTTGTAACAATCCTCATCTGTATAGTGTTTTGATATTAGAAACAGTTGGAGAGTACTATAAAAATGATCAAGTTTGCAGAAGTTGATCTAGTGTTAAAGACTATTCGTTTAAACGTGCATTTTGTAAAATGTAACATTGCAAGATGGAACATTATGCACACGGACGTACCTTCTCTTGAGTTGCCTTTTCAAGGAAGCGACAAATAAATCGCCATATGGTGACAAAGAATTGTGGCATGTGTAAAAGGTAACAAGCCGCTAAGCGCTCAGGGTAGTATGCCTGTAGAAAGAAACTGTGTGAGATGAGATGAAGTTAGCAGCATTAATATATATAAAGAATATATCAGCATTCCTGTGTGGCCTTCAGCAATTTGTTCAGTACATTGCTTGGACTCTTCAAAAATGTCATCGGGTGCGCTTCAGATACTCCAAAAGTAGTGCATTTTTGGAGGGTCTGCTGCGGATACGACAACATTTTTAGAAAGTCTGAGCAATATAGATTGGTCCTAATTTGTCTAAATCAAGATACAAGAGCTTAAGAGGAGAAACAATTTTGACCAAAATATTCGGAGGTTTTAAGTTAGTGGAGCATATTCAAATTATTTCATTACATCAAGGGGACACCTCATGGCTATGTTGCTCAGACCCTCCAAAAATGTTGCCGCAACCATGTCGGATCCTCCAAAAATGCATAGCGCTTGGAGGATCAGACACACACCCGGCAATATGTTTGAAGAGTCCGAGCAACATTGTCTCATAGTGAAAGCAAACCAAAGCCTTAACTATAGCTCAAATGTGAGAGTTCAATACCAGCTACGGCCTACGTAAAGAGTCTAGTGAGTTGTTCTACTAAGCCGTTAATCTCGACTCTTGTCTTATAGCTGACAAGAGACGTATAACGTTGTCCATGGTACAAGATTTATGTATCTTTTCATAACACTGGCTATGTGTGTCTCAGTACTAATGGTTTGCATACTATAGAACGGCAAATGGGTTACCTGTAAAAACTGAAAACCAGTTATCAATCCACGAGTATCAACATTGCTATAGGTAATATTCTTGAGATCAAGAATTGCAATAAGTTTCTCATTTCCTATTTCCCTACCTTTGAATGAACTGAAACAATCACAAAGAGGTCCAAGTTAGAAATAAAACCATGATTCTCGGTACAAAAAACATATTCCGAGAGAGGAATAGCTGATGAACCTTCGAGTCAAAGTCACAAAACCTCCCAAATATAAAATTTCCAGGTTACATTTTACAATAGTGTCAAATCTATTGCATCAAATATCAGCATAAACCCCTCTCATTTCCTTCTTTCTATCAATCACTTACTCAAAACAGAAACTTTGATTCAAGTAAAGCAAAGTAAATATTAAAAAGTTTAGAAGTTATCCCTCATGTGAAATTTTCCAAATAGTCAAAGAACAACTTGGTTAAATGAAAATGATACCTTGCAATTGTTTTGTCTAGTAGATGAATGACGAATTCTGCATAAGACGTGAATGTGTCAATACTAACTTTATCGTTAAAGAAATCATTAGCATCATGCAGAAAGAAGGAAGAATTGAGAAGGATTTATTCAAGAAATCCCCTTACCAGTCACCACAAAAAAAGTCATTCATATTATCAGAGATAGATAGCTAGGGTGCATGTGAGAGAACGAGATACGGTAAATGAATCATTTACCAGATTGCAACTTGATAAACACTTCAGATCGTTGATGTTTGTCCGTTTACATGCATTGGCAAATGTTCCTTAATAGAAAAAAACAGAATTTCTCGGAATTTAAGAGTTTTGCATAACCCTTTTTACTTTCATTTCACCAAGTAGGAAGTTCACCTAAAGTATGGTTAGCCTATGACCCATTATTTGACCACCTTGACCCAACCTAAATGATCCAAGCAAACTTATCCTGATTGGATCATGAACCGTTTATTAACTTGACGTGCATTCATCTACTCAAGTTTGATTCATTCAGGCCATTTGCCACCTCTTCTTGCAGATATCCAATATTATGGATCAGTTTTGTTTTATTTTAAACATTGCAGCTGGTTAGATATTAGTTAGTAGTGTGTATCCTCACAGCTTCTCCACAAAGCAACTTATAATTAAATAAACATAATCAATCATCCTTACACATAGTATCCCTTTCAATAATATATTATTGATCACAAGGATTAGTTAAGTGCTTGAAAGTAAACTATTTTCCTGCTGGAGATTCCCTTTGGGAGTTTATCAGATATCAAGGTTAGAGATAGCGTCCACTGGCCACTTTTCGGTCATATCTTTGAAAAATAACTATTGTCATGGAGTTTCAAATTTCGCGGTAACTCCATGACAGTAGCTATGTATAAAAAAAGTCCATGTATCAAGTGATCGCCCAACGACAAGAAGTCAAGTCCAAGAAAGTAACAACTAACTACAAGACTGTTTAAATTAAAAACTTGTCCTATGGCCCATTAGCAAGACAATAAAAAATAAAAAGGCATCATTGGGGCAACCAACCAGAATATTTCTTATCAAAAGAACACAAACAAGATAAACATTCATGAACTAACCAAGAAACAAGAAAATCAATATGCAATATATGAGAATTGCATGTTTGGCCAAGTTCTAAAATAACATATTTTGAAAAGTGTCTTTTTCAAAAATGTTTTCAGCTTCTGCTACTTCGCAAAAACACTTATTTTCTCCAAAAAACTTGGCCAATCATCAACACTTATAATCTCTCAAAAGTCAACAGGATATAAAAACATAAAATAAACTTTACTCTAATGGAAAAGAAATTACTCTTGAATTGAACTTGATCTTTGGAAGGAAAATGCTTGTTAACTTTGACTATCACAATAGGGTGTCCACTCTTGGACAATCCCTGCAAATAAAGTTTTTCAGCTGCTAATTCATTTGCAACTTCAGAATCAGAGATGTAACCAAGTGGAACCATCTCAGCCCTCCATTTTTTCCACTGACAAAACATCTTTGCAGCTTTCTCTGGGTCCATTGATCTCGCAATCAAGAACCTCATTAATGTCTTCTCACCATAACTCTACAACAACAACAAAAAAAACTGATTATCAGTACAAAGATTTGAACTTTACACTAAAAGAGGATAAAGGGGTTCATTTTTTTTTTTTAAGAAAGAGCTGATTATCAGTACAAAGATTTGAACTTTACACTAAAAGAGGCAAAAGGGGGTCATTTTTTTCTTACTTCAGTGGAAGATCCAAGCTTTTCAACTGATTTCCTCATTTGGGTCAATGCAATTTCTTGATTTCTGTCCATTTTTCAGGTTTTTTTCCCAACTTAAAAAGTGGTTTTTGTGGAAGGAGAAGAAAAATTTCACTCTGATTTTTTTTTTCTGAAAAGTATAAAGTTCAATGTTTTGGGGGAAGAAAGACACAGAGAAAAAGTTAGAAAACTCAAAAGATTGTGTCAAATCAAAGAAGTAGATATTAATGGCCGAAACATGAGGGAGAAGACCAATGAAGTAATGGAGTTGAACAGAAGAAGCGGTGTGGCTTATGACAGTTGGATTTGTTTGTTAATGAAGTTCCATTTACTATTTTTTTTTTATATTATTGTTATTATTACTATTATTAAATTTTTTAATTTAGTAGATGATTTTGTGAAATTAACTTAACTATAGATGTGAAAATAATTCAATTTATTTGAGACTAAGATGTAACTTTTTGGTAATCAGTTACATGTTCTTAGTTTGTCTCAATATTTAAAAGAAAATATAAGTACATGTCTATCCACTTAAGTTTTCGAAATTACAATTCGTACAATATTTTGTTCGTCAGATATGTGTCTTGCGTATTCAAATACATGTATCTCAGATATATGTAAACAAGATATATTATTTTTGTGTATCTAAAATTGAAATGTAATTGAAACGCACTAATCTAGGAGTAAATTACTCGTCGTATGATTCTGCATATCCTGAAATGTATTTTTTTTTTTTAATTCTCCAAAAAAAATTCCATTATTTCGAGCATTAGGTAGTCTTCCATATAATTCTTCTTCAATTTCTAATTGTGTATATCGTTCTGTTAATTGGAATTTCATTATATCTAGGATTCACAATGGTAATTATTAGTATTATGTTATTGAGACATTTTAAAACTTGACAAGATATATGAGTTTAGATACACAAATATACAATAAATAGATATTCAGATATACCACAAATATCAATCAAGTACATGATTAGATACAAAGCAGAATCAATAGATACATGAATCTATATTACATATTAGCTATAACATGCATAATTCAAGTACATTCTCAAATACACACTAGATATATCATTGGTACAGCACAAATACATACCCCAAGGAGTAATGTATCTCACTTGAAATTTAGTACAAAATTATTGAATAGTTGGATAGTAAATAATTATTTGAAAATATAGAGTGGATTAATTAATAAATAAGAATTAAACATGTTGGGCTTGTGCTCAGATCGGGCCACAGCCCATCTGGTATGACTAGAAGTAAACAAGATGTAAAATTTTTAGTAACATAAATAGTGGAGTAGTATGTCTATGGAGCTATTCTTTTTCATCTTATTTCACATTTCTATTATTCCTCTACTTTATGTTAGTGTTAGTAGTTCACAGCAACATCCTGCAAAAGTACAAGTTTAGCGCGCCCTCCATACTCCTCCGGTAAGACGTCTTCACCGACCTCTCGGATGAACTCTTGCTTCTGTTCTTCACTCATGACAATCCTCATCTGTGTAGTGATTTGATATTAGAAACAAAGACTATACATTTAAACACACATTTTTGTTAAACGTTACATCATTGGATGGAAAATTATGCACACTGACGTACCTTCCGTTGAGTTGCTTTATCAAGGAAGCGACATATAAATCGCCATACAGTGACAAAGAATTGTGGCATGTGTAAAAGGTAACAAGTAGCTAAGCGCTCAGGGTAGTATGCCTGTAGAAAGAAATTGTGTGAAATGTAGCTTAGCAGCATCAAAATAACACACAGAAATATAGAGAAATGAACATTATATCAGCATTCCAATGTGGCCTTCAGCAATTTGTTTAGTTTATTGCTCCCTATGTGACCCGGACTTCTAAAAAATGTCATCATTTAGCTGCGCATCAGCATCAGATCCTCCAAAAGTAGTGCATTTTTGGAGGGTCTGCCACGGGTGCCACATCATTTTTAGAAAGTCCAAGCAACAGAGGTTGGTCCTAATTTGTCTAAATCAAGATTCAAGAGCTTAAGAGGAGAAACAATTTTGACCAAAATTTTCGGAGATTTTAAGTTAGTAGAGCATATCCAAACTATTACGTTACATTAATGACACCTCATAACTATGTTGTTCAGACCCTCCAAAAATGTTACTGCAACCATGTCGGATTCTCCAAAAAAAGCATAGCTTTTGGAGGATCAGACACACACACGACAGTATGTTTGAAGAGTCCGAGCAACATTGTCTCATAGTGCAAGCAAACCAAAGCCTGTCTAGTGAGTTCTTCTACTAAGCCGCTAGTCTTGACTCTTTGAACTGTCTTATAGTGTATATTTTCATAACACTGGTAATGTGCGTCTCTATAGTAATGGGTTTGCGTACTTTAGAAAGGCAAAGGGGTTACCTGTAAAAACTGAAAACCAGTGATCAATCCACGAGTATCAACATTGCTATAGGTAATATTCTGGAGATCAAGAATTGCAATAAGTTTCTCATTTCCTATTTCTCTACCATTGAATGAACTGAAACAAGCAGAAAAGAGGTCCAAGTTAGACACAGAACCATGATTCTCAGTACAAAAAACATAATTTCGAGAGAGGAATAGCTGAGGAACCCGCGAGTCGAAGTCACAAAACCTCCAAAAGATAAATTTTCCAGGTTACATTATACTGTAGTGTCAAATCTATTGCATCAGATAACAGGAGAGATGTAATTCCTCTACACTTTCTTGTTAAGGCAATCCTCTTCATTAGTAGCATTTACCTCACTAAGCAGTTCATTGTTATCATCATTTCTTGGACAAGAACAAGATGAAAGTTTCCGTCATTACTTCGCGCCTCATTGAAAAGACAGATATCAGAGCGACAAGACAACAAAACAGAAAAGTAGCACCTAAAAGGATCTACAATCCCAAATAAGCAGTTAAGCACACACACAATCTCCTGAGCGGTATAGAATAGTAGGGAAAATGATGCCCAACAAAGCACCATCATAACAAGACTGTTCATACAATATTCTAGTCAAACATATGCTTTGATTTCTCTCAAATCACAAGCAATTGTAAATGATGTTAAAACTTTCTAGTGCAAGTTCCCTTCACCCCCTCCCCCCACGGCCCCACCCCACCCTCTGTGTAGAAATATCAGCACAAACCTCTCATTTCCTTCTTTCTCTCAATCACTTAGTGGTCGTTTGGTAGGATGTACAAGAATAGTGTTGAATAAGATGTATTAGTAATACACAAAGATATTTTTTCTAACGCATCCTACCATATGACCCCTTACTCAAAACAGACACTTTGATTTACATAAAACAAAGTAAATGTCAAAAACTTTGCAAGTTATACTTAATGTGCAATTTCCCAACTGGTCAAAGAGCAACATGATTGAATGAAAATGATACCTTGCAATTGTTTTGTCGAGTGCATGAACCACGAATTCTGCATAAGGGGCGAATGTGTCAATACTAACTTAATCGTTAAGAGTAATCATTAGCATCCTACAGAAAGAAGAAGAATTGAGAAGGATTTATTCAAGAAATCCCCTTACTAGTCACCCCCCAAAAAAAATAATCATTCATTATATTACCAGAGATAGGGTGCATGTCTTTTTCCTACTGGATATTCCCTTTGAGAGGTATCAGGTATCAAGTTTGAAATAGTGTTCACTGGCCACTTTTCAGTCATAACATTGAAAAATAACTACTATCACGGAGTTCAAATTTCACAAGAACTCCAAGTCTGTCTCAATTTGTTTTCTTACCGTCCATTTTAGTTCGTTCAAAATATAATGTCTCTTTACTTTTTTGGCAACTTTTTAGTTTTAACTTTGCACGTGACATCTTTAAAATCACAAGATTAAAAAACATTTTGGTATATTGACCACAACACTTCTTTACTTTCTTTAACACCGTCTCAAATCAAAACCAAACTAACAAATTGAAACAGAGGGACTACAAGATTGTCTAAATTAAGGACTTGTCCACAATAAAAGATAAAAAGCCATCATTGAGAGAACCAACCAGAATATATTTCATAAAAAAAACACAAACAAGATGAACAATCATGGACTAACCAAGAACATCAGAATGCAATATTAACTATAAACAAAGAAATGAAAAGGAGCTTTACTCATAAGGGAAAAGAATTTACTCTTGAATTGAACTTGATCCTTGGAAGCAAAATGCTTGTTAAGTTTGATTATAGCAACAGGATACCCATTCTTGGACAATCCCTGTAAATAAACTTTTTCAGCTGCTGATTCATCTGCAACTTCAGAATCAGTGATGTACCCAGTTGGAACCATTTCAGCCCTCCATTTTTTCCACTGACAAAACATCTTTGCAGCTTTCTCTGGGTTCATTGATCTTGCAATCAAGAACCTCATCAATGTCTTCTCTCCATAACTCTACAACAACAACAAAAAAAACTGATTATCAGTACAAAGATTTGAACTTTACACTAAAATAGGAAAAGGGTGTCATTTAAAAAAAAAAAAAACTGATAATCACTACAAATATTTGAACTTTACACTACAAGAGGAAAAAGGGGATCATTTATTTTTTTAAAAGAACTGATTATCATCAGTACAAAGATTTGAACTTTATACTAAAAAGGGAAAATGGGGTAATTTTTTTCTTACTTCAGTGGAAGATCCAGGCTTTTCAACTGATTTCCTCATTTTAGCCAATGCAATTTCTTGATTTCTGTCCATTTTCAGTTTTCTTCTCCCCCCTCCCAAACTTCAAAAGAATGGTTTTTTGGGAAAGAAATACACAAAGAGAAAAAGTTAGTAGAAAACTTAAAAGAGTGTCTCATTAATGGCAATTAATGGCCAAACTGTTTGGCCCAAACATGTCGAAAGGGACCAAGCTCATGGAATAGAAGAGAAGAAGAGTGGTGTCTGTGGATATGATATTTGATTTGTTTGTTCTTGATGTCATTGTTTTTTTTAAAAAAGAACTGATTATCAGTGCAAAGATTTGAACTTTACACTAAAATAGGAAAAGGGTGTCATTTAAAAAAAAAAAAAACTGATAATCACTACAAATATTTGAACTTTACACTACAAGAGGAAAAAGGGGATCATTTATTTTTTTAAAAGAACTGATTATCATCAGTACAAAGATTTGAACTTTATACTAAAAAGGGAAAATGGGGTAATTTTTTTCTTACTTCAGTGGAAGATCCAGGCTTTTCAACTGATTTCCTCATTTTAGCCAATGCAATTTCTTGATTTCTGTCCATTTTCAGTTTTCTTCTCCCCCCTCCCAAACTTCAAAAGAATGGTTTTTTGGGAAAGAAATACACAAAGAGAAAAAGTTAGTAGAAAACTTAAAAGAGTGTCTCATTAATGGCAATTAATGGCCAAACTGTTTGGCCCAAACATGTCGAAAGGGACCAAGCTCATGGAATAGAAGAGAAGAAGAGTGGTGTCTGTGGATATGATATTTGATTTGTTTGTTCTTGAATTTTCCTTTATTATTTCTTTAATATTATTATTATAAAATTTATTTTTCACTTTTATTTAGAATTATCCACAACGTTGCTCAGTAAAATCTTATAAATGAGATCTCAAAAGGTTAAAATCTATGCAGACCTTACCATTGCTTCATGAAAGTAGAGAAACTGTTTCTAAAAGACTGTCGTCTCAAGTGCAACAATCTTGATATAAAGGAGAAGAAGACAATGAAGAGAGATCAAAAAATAAAATAGTGCAAAAGTAACTAAAACAACAATAAAATCATGTGATAATCGAAATGCTATAAACAACATATTAGGGTAGATTAGTATTAAAAAATAATAATAAACAATGATAAAAATAAAAAACAAGAACTACAATAATATAACTAGTATCATCACTAACACTGGTCACCTTAAGCAACACAACCTACTAACCATAATACGAGTCCTCCTCACCCTCCTATCTAGGGTCATATTTTTAGTAACTTGAAGTCGCCTCATATCATGTCTTATCACCTCTCTCTCCAATACTTTTTCAGCCTACCTCTGTCTCTCTTCGTACGCTCTATAACCAACTTCTCGCACTTTCTCATTGGTGCGTTTATGCTTCTCTTTTTCAGATGTATAAACCATCTTAGTCTAATTGCTCATCTTATCGACCAAAGAGGTCACACCCACCTTATCTCGAATATCCTCATTTATAATACTCCTAGTATGATCACACATTCATCTCAACATCCACAACATGCATTTTCTAAAGATAAAATTTCTTGATTTGCCAACACTCAGACACATACAATAAAGTTGATCTAACTATCCCTTTTTTTTTTAGTAATATAAAAATAATCTAATTTATTTCAGATTAAGACGGTTTTTATTATTGCTGTGGTATGGATTTCCGTTTAGCTAATGAAAATATGAAAAGTCTCCTTCTATATATGTGGCAAAGACATTATCGAATATTATGTCCAATTTTTAAGTGTGAACAATATTATATATTATTATTAGTAGGCATTTGGACATGATTTCAAATTAATTCTAGGATATATGATTCGAAATTGTTATTTCAAATTTCAAATTATCTAAAAAGTGTAATTTGAAATTTCAAATTGTGATTATGATATAGGCTTAAATAAGTCAAACCTCATTAATCACTTACCTAAAAAGCCAATTTATCTATTTAAAAATATTAATGACCAACGTAAAGAAGTTTTAGCACGCAAATTTTTATTTATTATCTATTCACAAGCTTTTGGTCCTCCTTTTAAGTGTGAATTCAGTTACGTCTCAAGCATAATTAGATATCCAAGCACGAGAAGATTAATAATTAACTTCTAAACTAGTAGTAAGATTTATGTTGTTATGTTTGTGTAATTAAGTAGTTTTTTTTTTTTTTAATAAGAATTAAACATGTTGAGCCTGTGCTCAGTACGGGCCACAGCCCATCTGGTATGACTAGAAGTAAACAAGATGTAAAACTTTTAGCAACATAAATAGTAGTATGTTTATGAAGCTATTCTTTCTCATCTTATTTCACATTTCTATTATTCCTCTACTTTGTGTTTGTGTTAGTAGTTCACAACAACATCCTGCAAAAGTACAAGTTTAGCGCGCCCTCCATACTCCTCCGGTACGACGTCTTCACCGACCTCTCGGATGAACTCTTGCTTCTGTTCTTCACTCATGACAATCCTCATCTGTGTAGTGATTTGATATTAGAAACAAAAGACTATGCATTTAAACACACATTTTTGTTAAGCGTTACATCACGCGATGGGCAATTATGCACACTGACGTACCTTCCGTTGAGTTGCTTTATCAAGGAAGCGACAAACAAATCGCCATATGGTGACGAAGAATTGTGGCATGTGTAAAAGGTAACAAGTAGCTAAGCGCTCAGGGTAGTATGCCTGTAGAAAGAAACTGTGTGAAATGTAGCTGGCAGAATCAATATAAAGAACTGAACTATATATATTAGCATTCCAATGTCATTGGGTGTGCGCCAGCGTCAGATCCTCCAAAAGGAGTGCATTTGTGGAGGGTTTTCCACGGGTGCCTCATCATTTTTAGAAAATTCGGGCGACATAGATTGCTCCTCATTTGTCCAAATCAAGATTCAAGAACTTAAGAAGAGCAACAATTTTGATCAAAATTTAACACTGGTTATGTGCGTCTCTATACTAATGGTTTGCGCACTATAGAACGACAAAGGGATTACCTGTAAAAACTGAAAACCAGTGATCATTCCACGAACATCAACATTGCTATAGGTAATATTCTGGAGATCAAGAATTCCAATAAGTTTCTCGTTTCCTATTTCTCTACCATTGAACGAACTGAAACGAGCACAAAGGAGGTCCAAGTTAGAAACAGAACCATGATTCTCAGTATAAAAAACATATTTCGATAGACAAATAGCTGAGGAATCCACGAGTTGATAAGTACATAAACATGGTTGAATGAAAATGATACCTTGCAATTGTTTTGTCTAGTAGATGAACCACATATTCTGCATAAGAGGCGAATGTGTCAATACTAGCACTATAGTTAAGAGTAATCATTAACATCCTATAGAAACGGAGAGACTACAACATCAACATACCTAGTGAAATCCCACAAAAGTGGGGTCTAGGGAGGGTAGAGTGTACGCAAACCTTACCACACAAGATTGTCTAATTAAACTTGACCAATGGCCCATTAGCAGGACAATAAAAGATAAAAAGGCATCATTGAGAGAACCAACCAGAATATTTCTCATAAAAAAACACAAACAAGATAAACAGTCATGGACTAGCCAAGAACAAGAGCATCAAAAAAGAACTGTTACTCTTAAGGGAAAATAATTTACTCTTGAATTGTACTTGATCCTTGGAAGGAAAATGTTTGCTAAGTTTGATTATCACAACAGGATACCCATTCTTGGACAATCCCTGTAAATATACTTTTTCAGCTGCTGATTCATCTGCAACTTCAGAATCAGTAATGTACCCAATTGGAACCATTTCAGCCCTCCATTTTTTCCACTGACAAAACATCTTTGCAGCTTTCTCTGGGTTCATTGATCTTGCAATCAAGAACCTCATCAATGTCTTCTCTCCATAACTCTACAACAACAACAAAAACTGATTATCAGTACAAAGATTTGAACTTTACACTAAAATAGGAAAAAATGGAGGATTTTCGTTAGGCATAATACATAAATATACCCCTTAAGTCGGTTTCAACTAGCATCTATACCCTCAAACTTTTGATAGACAGTTAAATTTATATGAAGTGACATAATACACGTAGGAGGCTACACAGGACACTAAATTGTCACGTACGACATCACATAAGACGAATATACTTATTTGTTTAATTTTATATAAATTTAAGTGTCTGGTTATGCAAATCAAAGTTAGAGCACATAGATGTCAATTGAGGTCGACTTAAACAAGTTTTTGTATTATGCATTTTCTTTTCTAAAGAAGAACTGATTATTAGTACAAAGATTTGAACTTTACACTACAAGAAGAAAAGGGGGTCAATTTTTTTTTAAAAAAAGAACTGATTATCAGTACAAAGATTTGAACTTTACACTAAAATAAGAAAATGGGGGTCATTTTTTCTCACTTCAGTGGAGGATCCAAGCTTTTCAACTGATTTCCTCATTTGTGTCAATGCAATTTCTTGATTTCTGTCCATTTTCAGTTTTCTTTTCCCCCCCAAACTTCAAAAGAATGATTTTTGTGAAAAGAGAAGACAAATAAATACACAAAGTGAAAAAAAAATATAAAAAATAGGGAACTTAAAAAGTGTCAAATCAAATAAATGGCAATTAATGGCCGAACTATGTATAGATGGACCAAGTTATGGAATAGAAGGGAAGAGATAGTTTGGTGTGGATATTTTGTTGGGCTAACCCATTGGTGGCCCCTTAAATTTGACACGAAATTTCACTTAGGCACCTCAAGTGGATGATGTTCATTTTAGACACCTCATGTAGGGTTTCGCTGTGTCATTTTGACACTTTTTGCTTACATGACATAGTGAGTGTAATACACTTGTTGAACGCGCGTGAAATACCTATTTAGTCGATTTTTTAATTATTTTTTTCTTCTTCTTTCCCATTTTCAGCCACCATTTTTGCAAACTTAAATATCCAACATGGTGAATAAAAATAGTTACAGTAAAATGATGAAAAATGATGGAAACTATTTTAGAAATTTAGGAATAGACCCATTTCAAGATTAAATATTAAATTATTCAAGAAATTCTTTCTTGAAAGAATTTAATATTTAAAGAGGAGTAAGTTTAATTTTTGGTGAATTTTAAACTTGCTAATTAGGGTAAAAAAGA